AGTTGTATTTGTATTTTGTCATTTTATTCATTTAAAGGTAAGGATGCTTATTGTATCGATTACTTTAAAAAGGGTGAAAGTGATAACTTGCTTTTAAAGGAACTCCACTGAGGTTTAAATGCCTAAAAGCATGAAATTTGAAACACCTACAAATAATCAAGCAAAGCACTTAAAATGGAAAAACTATATGAAAGACTTTAATGTATTAAATACTAGCTTACGAGTTAATCTTCTTGGATAAATATGTACAATGTTCCATTCAAAGTAAAAAATTTATTAGTCTAGGATATGTAGTTACAAATTAGCATGTGATTATATAAGTTTATAATTATTTATAACTTGACTTTGTTAAAAATGTTCACCATTTGTTTAAACAGTATGCTGAATAAACATAGAAATGCTTGAAATGGTAATCCACTAGCTGGAAAACAGAAATTTAGAAATTTTGTTTGCCAAAGAAAAGAAATTTTTTGAAAGATATGTATGTTAAGTTGTATTATGTTTTGGTTGTCAATTTTTCAGGATCATCTGTGTAATAAGTTGGCTTCAAATAAACATAGCCTTTTATTAATTTTGTGATATTAGGGAGAATTTACTAGTGTATAGGTGCAACATAGTTTTAAGAATTATTTTTGACAAGATTGTAAATTGTATATATATATATAGATATCATAGAAGTTGTTTTCAGTGATCCTAGTATCAGATGCTCTAGCTTAGATCTGTATTCATAGAAAAATAGTCAGTATAATTATTATTATTATTTTACTTCATTTTTTTGTGTATTATTTTTATTACTTACTTTAAATAAATGATAATAAGCTTCATGAAACAGAGAAATAGCTAGTCACCAAATGTAAGGTATGTCTTGAAGCAGTATAGGAATAGGATATATCATATGTGTAGCTTGAATTCCTCTATTAAATACCTTAGAAATAATGGAATATTAAACAGGTTTAGAACTGAAATAAAATGAGCTGCGCCATGATAAAACAAACATAGTGCGTTTGTGACCAGCATGGATTCAGACCAGTCTACACATCCATGCAGTCTGATCAAGATCCATGCTGTTTGCTATCAGTATCTCTACTTGTAATAGGGTTTGTAAGGGAACAGCATGGATCCTGATCAGACTGCGCGGATGGTCTGGATCCATGCTGGTCGCAAACGCACTATGTTGGTTTTGTCATGGCGCGGCTCAAATGTAGGTTTATCATATATGTACTGTGAAATTGATCATTTTTATGTAAAGTAGTGTTAGTAATCTACCAAGCTTATTGTTCTGGTGATTGGATTTCTCTGCAATTAAAACATTACACTTTATATCTGTATCTTAAAAGGCTTTTATACAGAGTTACTTTGGCTGGTATTATATTACAGAATACATGTACATTAAATAAAAAATTGTACACAAAAGTCAAGAAAGAAATGGTTGTGTTTGAATTATGACAGTGATAATTATTATTATAGTTAGTTGCCAAATGTTTGGTATGATTTTAAGTAATATAGATATATAGCTCTCAAAAAATAAATTCAATTATATAATCTCTTAAAAAAAATATAATCTCTTAGGAATATAATGATTTTGTCTTTGCTTTTTGTTGAAATATTTTATATTTACCAAATTAGAAACACACAAAGAGCATTTTAACATTTTTTATGATTTTCAACTATTTTTTTTCAAAGATTCCATTTGATGACTAACAATTAAGAGACTTGTGAAGGACATTAGGGGAAACGTTATATCTGATAAAATAATGTGTTCGCTATGTGATGGAAACAAGAAAATTTGTTTTTATTGTATAATGTATGACTAATTAGGTAAATGCATCAAATGCATTTGGAAGGAAATACTAGATCAAGTTGTTAAAAAAAGGGATAAAATTTATGCTTTCTTGGTGGTTATACCACAGATATAAGAACATTAACTTGTGTTGCAATTTGTGTATATATGCTTGCTTTATGTTGAATTGTAAATGCTCCTTAATTTGCCAAGAATTAGACTGCAAAAGTTTTAAGATAATGAAATGCATGCTTCTATTAAATTGAAATAAAGCTTATAGTGATATATAAAAATGATATTCCTTGATTGTGTGTATATAGACTAGGTAAATATGTCTAAATTAATTATTTACATAATTAAAATATAGATACTGATAAGAATTGTATCAATTAATCAACAAATTATCAGAATTGGCGTTGCTAAATATTTAGATTTATGTGTAAGAAGGAAAATTTGATTTCTTGTCTAAAATGTGAAAACTTGTGTACACAATATATATGCCCTTGTTAATGATTCTAACTGAATTGTTTAGTTTCACTCCAAGCTTTCAGTGTGTTATACACGTGCTTTCAGAAAAGGATAAAAGGGACCAAGATTTAACATTCCGCATAGAATAGAAATTTGTGTTTAGATTTATATAGATTTCATTATTTTCACTCTTAGATTCAAGTCATCTTCACAAGAGTCTGTAAATTTATTAATTGTCAATTAATTAATTAAGAAAGCTCTCCAGTAAAGAAACATGATAGAAACTTGATTAGCTGGAACTGTATGGAATTTACCTTTGTTACAGTATAGAGCCAGGCAAGCTGCTCTTTTTCATGGTATCTGAGCAGGCTCTATACTGTTGGTAGCCAAATTTTTTATATTTCAAATATTGAATTCTTGAATCAATGGATTGTTGCAAATTCAAAGCAGAGGAAGTACACGAATAAATGCAGCAGGTTTAAAGATTATTCTATGCCTAATGACCTTAGTTAAATTGCCTATTGTAAATTCAGTTGTATTTCAATACCAAAATACTTGAGTTTGGTAGAATAGTTAAGCAATACGGTTCGTCTTGCATTCTTATACTATTGACATAAGCAAATCATTGGAGAATAAAATCAAATCTACATTATAACTTTTGTCCCTTGTCTTTGTTCAGCGTTAAAACATGTGCTAGAGATTTTTTTAAAGATATTTTACAGTGTAATTGAATCTCATAATTCTGAATATCTGTGATTAGAGAAAATGTTCTTGTGTTGTCTGTAGTCTGGCTTGATTCTGTAAAGCATTCTGCTTTAATTGTCACTGTTGGTCATTTAGTTTAAATATGTGTTATTCATGTTAATATTTTCTTTTATTTCGAGTAGATCTATAAGACTATGTGTGAAATGAAGATATTTCTCATATCTCATATATGTTGGAAAGGTTACGGATTTGCATGTAGGTTAGATTTACTTGTCATTTATTTTCAAATGATAAGAAAAAAAAATTGACATTTGTATATTTAACTAATTTGCGAAAAAGAGAGACTGCTTATAATGTGAAGTTATAGCCATATTTTACTGGGTTAACAAACAGTGAGTTTGAAGAAATCAGTAAATTATTAATGTTCATGTTAAGTCTCTTTTGTGCTTGTTGCCTTGGATATTTAACACTATTTTATGCCTGTTTGTAGTTTGTTGGTTTTATCCCAGATTAAAGTAACTTGATGTGTAATACTTGAACTTCAAATATATGTTTTTATTCAGAGCTTTGTTTAATTTTTCATGTACATGTAGTTAGTACCCAGTACTGTTGCTATGGAAATGATAAAATTATTATTAGCATTTTTTCAATTTTCAAAATATTGTTACCATTTTCCAATTTTTCCTCACTGATTAGAAACTGTCCGCTTACACCAAATGAATTCTTCACTAAGATGTCATAACAAAATTGTCTTGCCAGCATTTTATGGACTTTTTGAATCTGATTTTCTTTCTTTTTTTCTTCTTCTCTTTGTTACTGAGTTCTTGTTTTTTGATATTTTGTAAATGTATTTCATTATGTATATGCATTCCACTTATATTATTCAATGTGTAAATATTATATAATGGAAAATAAATGATCAATGCCAATATATATTGAACTGGTTTGTGTTTACTTTTACCATAGTAAATTAATTAGCATCCTGGATAGACGCAAATACAATATAATATCCTAGTGGTCAATAAATTGAAGTTGAAAATCCTCCATGTGAAGAGAATGAATTCATATATAAAAGTTCTTTAAAATATTTGAATGCTAATATAAATTTGTTCGTGTCTTCTATTAATAGTATTACATAAATTTATAAAAGCAGATTAAATTTCAACGTCTGTTAAAAATTTCATATAATATTCAGTACAAATATGTAAGTTTATTAATAACGATTTAATTTACATCAGAATTATTCCATATATGGTTTGGAAAATTGTCTAAGTGTGGTTTACAATTTTGTAACATAAGGAACATCTGTTACATTGGCTTTATTTAGTCTATACAAGATATTCGTATTCTTTATGGGTCACCATTGGCACAGTCGATATTGTAGAAATATTATAAAGATAGAAGTTTTAGCTTTTTTCACGGCACAAAAGTGTAATAAAGACCTGATTTATTAATAAAAACGATATTACGCTAGTGTAATAACAGTGTTCCAATGACACGGGGGAGGGAATGTTACACAAGGGATGTAGTTCTTATGATAACTTGTCAGGAGTTCGTCGGAAAACTTTCAACGTTGTCCGAAGCATTAGAAGTATTAGTCGGAATCAAACTTTTATATGCGATTCTTTATTAAACTTTAGAAATAAAAAAAACAATACTGATAAATCATTTCAAATAAGTAGAACTGTCAAATAAATCCTATCTATATCAACATAAATCGATACGAATATACAGTGTACTGCAGTATATATGGAAAAATCGCAAATATGACGCCAGACGCCAATGTTCTATATTTGGAAACTATCTGTTCTATTTTTAGACTACTTTCCAGAAATAAAAAAATAAGTACATACAGTTAACGATAAAAGATATTTCTACCCGTTGTCTAAGGCAGCAATTTTGTAAAATGGGTTAATATTTAATATATAGAAAGTATTTAAAACCATGTTGACGTCATTTAAGATCGAACTATTTAATTCCTCGTAGTTTCCCCATGTCTTGTACCGGAAGTGCGTACTTTGACGTCGTTACCAAGGTCGGCTGCATAACGACGCCAATCATTGATTTGTTGACTCTAGCAACAAAGAGCGGGCCTTTTTAGACCGCAGTCAAAAATTGCAAGTATTTGATAGTTTTTCAAATATTTCCAGTGTTAACACATCACTTAAATAATATTTAACTGTTATCTTAGATATTATTTTAAAAAAATGTAGTTTTTAAAGGAATTAAGCGCGCTTGAGCCGAAAAATGGTGCGTCCACCGGATGAACCTCGGCGACAAGTGGAGGGGAACCCAATCAGGTTGGATTCCCAGGTTAGAAGAGGAAGAGCTGATCCTTACAGAGAAGCTGCCGTTTTGTAAGTACTTTAGTTTATATTTTACTACATCAACCTTAATATTTCCATTGTATTATTATAATTAAATCGGTCTTATACGTTCATTTTTAATGTCGATTTGTATTTGTCAATTATTATATTTATTATCTGTTCTGCAAGACTATTACAAATGGAAGTAATAATGTATTATTTATTGGTATGAAAAAACTCGAAAGGTTTTTTTATATGGCCGGTAATAAAGCGCCTGCCTTGCGGCTCGGCTCATATGCCTTTAGTTTTACAAACGTTTTAACTATCCAATCTATCTCAACACCTCACGGGAGCGTAATAAGAATCGCTCAAAATAGGTTTTTTAAAATGTTGTTAATAAAAATGAAACAAATTCCAGGAGCCTTGTCAACTAGGGTGAGGCATGTTAATGCCAGATATTGCTACACGGGTCTGCTCTAGGATATGCAGAATGGCATCAGTGGGTAGTAGATGGTTCTAAATCTTATAGTATAAAGAGTATTTATAGTAGTTGATAATTTGTGACTCGATTAATTACCCTGAAGTGTCGTTCGGGAGAGAAGGGGAAGATATTCTTCTCTGAAAGGGGATATCAACCAATATACGCATGCTGTTGCTGTTATGTGTTTGCCTTAGTTCCCTACATTATCTGTATGCCTAATGACAGAAGCATATCGCTATGAGAACATTCTTTTTTAAATAACGAAAATACAATTTCATCTGTAGTGATTATAGGTATAGGCTTCTTCATACTGTTGGTTAACCTTTTATCGTTGTGGTTAAGTGTCCGCCCTAGTAATCGAGAGGCCTAGGGTTCAAATCCGGTAAGGTCAGTGGCTGGGAATTACATGTAATCAGTTTACAAAAAAAAATATGGCGACAAGGTAAAAACAGCCACAAAAAACAAAACAACATAACGACAATGATTATGAAGTGTTTCATTTGCGAACATGAAGAATTAATCGAATAGCAACCAATTGCGGACAATGCATCGTGTATGTCCCCTACGCTTTAGAGGTAAAATTGCATTTAGAATTAGCATGCAATTTGTTTAAAAGAGACTGCACTGAGTAAGCAAACGTTTCAAAATACAATAGGTATAGAAGTGTGGTATATGACACTTAAAAACCCTTAATTGATGTAAAATGTCCTTGTAATGTAATCGAGAGGTTTAAATTTTAAAAAATGTAATTGTATAATTTAAAAATTACCTTAAAAATCACATATGTTTAGCAGCTACCCACTTAACATAACTCTAAGACCACCACATACTCTGTGAACAGACCTCACAGAGCACTTCTCACTTAATGAACACAAAACATGAAATACTACACACTCAATGAACATCAATCATTTAGCACTACTCAAAGTTTGAATCTTTGATAAATATTCTTAGTAGGCATTGCTCATTATATGAGCATTACTTATAGCATGAACATAAGTCAAACGCATCTCAAATTATGAATAATGAGTAATACTGATATATGATCATTGCTCACTACTTAAATTATAAATATTACTAACCAAGCACTACTTACATGACTTACAATGTGAACATTACGAACTCAGCACTACTTAAATGTGAACATTACTAACTGAACACTACTAATAATGTAAGCATTACTCAATGAACACTATTTACAATGTGGACATTACTCAATAGCAATACTTACAATGTGAACAGACTCACTGAACATTGCTTCCAATATGATTATTACAAACTAAGCAATACTTACAATGTTAACATCACTCAATGATGCTACTTACAATTTTAACATTACTCAAGGAACACTACTTACAATGTGAACATTACTCAATGGTCACTACTTACAATGTTAATATTACTCAATATACACGACTTACAATGTTACTATTACTCAAAGAACGTTGAACAACGTACAATGTTAACATGACTCAATGAATACGACTAATAATGTAAATATTACTTAATGAACACTACTTACAATGTTTACATTACTCAATGAACACTACCGACAATGTAAACATTACTCAATGAACACGACTTACAATGTTAACATTACTCAATGAACACTACTTACAATGTTAACATTACTCAATGAACACTCCTTACAATGTTAACATTACTCAATGATGACGACTTACAATGTTAACATTACTCAATGAACACTACTTACAATGTTAACACTACTCAATGAACACTTACAATTTTAACATTACTTAATGAACGAGACTTACAATGTTAACATTTTACAATGAAGACGACTAACTATGTAAACATTATTCAATGAACACTACTTACAATGTTAATATAACTCAGTGAACACTTCTCACAATGTTAACATTACTCAATGAACACGACTTGCAATTTAAGCATTACTCAATGAACACCTCTTACTTTGTGAACATTACTCAATGAACACTACTTACTATGTGAACATTACTCAATAAACGAGACTAACAATGTGAACATGTCTCAATAAACACTACTTATACAATGTTAATATTACTTAATGAACGCGAATTGCAATTGTAACATTACTCAATGAACATTACTTACTATGGGAACATTACTCAATGAACGAGACTTACAATGTTAACATTACTCAATGAACACTACTTACAGTGTTAACATTACTCAATGGACATTTCCTACAATGTTAACATAACTCAATGAACACGCCTTGCAATTTTAACATTATTCAATGAACACGACTTACAATGTTCACATTTCTCAATAAACGAGACTTACAATGTTAACATTACTCAATGAACACTTTTGACAATGTTAACATTACTTAATGAACACGACTTACAATGTTGACATTACTCAATGAACACTACCTACAATGTTAATTTAACTCAATGAACACTTATTACAATGTTAATATTTCTCAATGAACACTACTCACAATGTAAACATTACTCAATGAACACTACTTACACTGTTAACATTACTCAATGATTACTACTTACAATGTTAGCATCTACTTACAATATTAACATGGGCAATGAACACTACTAACAATGTTCACATTACCCAATAAACGAGACTTACAATGTTAACTTTACTCAATAAATACTACTTACAATGTTAACATTACTCAATGAACCCTACTTACAATGTTAACATGACTCAATGAACACTACTTACAATGTTTATAGTACTCAATGAACACTACTTACAATGTTACCATTACTGAATGAACATGTTTTACAATGTAAATATTACTCAATGAACACTACTTACAATGTTCACATTACTCAATAAACGTGACTTACAATGTTAACATTACTCAATGAACACTACTTACATTGTTAATATTACTCAATGAACACTACTTACAATGTAAACATTACTCAATGAACACTACTTACAATGTTAAAATAACTCAATGAACACTACTTACGATGTTACTATTACTCAATGAACACTACTAAAATGTTCACATTACTCAATAAACGAGACTAACAATGTTAACATTACTCAATGAACACGTCTTACAATGTTAATATTGCTCAGTGAACACTTCTTGCAATGTTAATATTACTCAGTGAACACTTCTTACAATGTTAACATTTCTCAATGAACGAGGCTTACAATGTTAACATTACTCAATGAATACTACTTACAATGTTAACATTACTCAATAAACACTACTCACAATCTAAACTAAACTTAAAGAACGAGACTTACAATGTTAACATTACTCAATGAACACTTCTTACAATGTTAATATTACTCAATGAACACGGCTTACAATTTTAACTAAACTTAATGAACGAGACTTACTATGTTAACATTACTCAATGAACACTTCTTACAATGTTAATATAACTCAATGAACACTACTTACAATGTTAATATTACTCAATAAAGACTACTTACAATCTTAACTAAACTTAAAGAACGAGACTTACAATGTTAACATTGCTCAATGAACACTTCTTACAATGTTAATATTACTCAATGAACACGGCTTACAATTTAAACTAAACTTAATGAACGAGACGTACAATGTTAACATTACTCAATGAACACTTCTTACAATGTTAATATTGCTCAGTGAACACTTCTTAAAATGTTAATATTACTCAGTGAACACTTCTTACAATGTTAACATTTGTCAATGAACGAGGCTTACAATGTTAACATTACTCAATGAATACTACTTACAATGTTAACATTACTCAATGAATACTACTTACAATGTTAATATTGCTCAGTGAACACTTCTTACAATGTAAATATTACTCAGTGAACACTTCTTACAATGTTAACATTTCTCAATGAACGACGCTTACAATGTTAACATTACTCAATGAACACTTCTTACAATGTTAACATTACTCAATGAACACTTCTTACAATGTTAATATTACTCAAAATACACGGCTTACAATTTTAACTAAACTTAATGAACGAGACTTACAATGTTAACATTACTCAATGAACACTTCTTACAATGTTAATATTACTCAATGAACACTACTTGCAATGTGAATATTACTCAATGAACACTACTGACAATGTTAACATTACTCAATGATCACTTCTTACAATGTAAATATTACTCATAAACACTACTAACAATGTTAATATTACTCAATGAATACGACTTGCAATGTTAACATTACTCAATGAACACTTCTTACGATGTTAACATTACTCAATGAACACTACCTACAATGTTTACATTACTCAATGAACACTACTTACAATGTTAACATACTCACTGAACACTACTTACAATATGAATATTACTAAATCAGCACGACAAACAATGTTAACATAACTCAAGGAACGAGACTTACCATGTTAACATTACTCAATGAACACGAATAACAATGTGAACATTACTCAATGAACACGAATAACAATGTGAACATTACTCAATGAATACGACTTACAATGTTAACACTACTCATTCAACACGACTTACTATGTTAAAATTACTCAATGAACACAACTTATAATGTGAACATTACTCAAAGAACACTTCAAACAATGTTTTATACAGATGTGCTTTGTG